TCGGTCATTCAAAAACTTGTGTTTGTATTATTATTAATTTAAAGAATTTAATCTACCATTTATATATATGTATTTTTTAATGTTACCAGTACCCAATACCACCAAAAAAACTAATAGACGAAGAGCTAGTGACAAATATGTGCAAGAGCTTTCTAAAGCTTGATATTTCAGTATGTTGAAGTACCCAGTGCGGAGGTCAGGTGCTAGAACACCTGATGGCGGCCGGGCAATGTGAAATACGAAAAATCGTAACATATATTAACACTGAAATATCAAGCTTTAGAAACTTGCACATTTTTGTCACGGTCTCTGAGACTATAAATCATTAAGATATTATTTTAATACATATATAGGTCATATATTAATTATTAGTCCAGTCAGAGTAATTCAAAGAAGATCAATTTGGTGTCAGTTTTGGCTGACACAAGATTTGGCCGATGCAAAATTAGGAAAACAGCTTAATAAATATAACTAGATGGTTGACACGTAAAGACGAGATTAAAAAATTTTTAGAAGACTTAGGAAAAGAAACATGAAAAGCTTAAAATATAACAATGATTTAATATTAATTATCGAAATTAAATTTACAACAGAAATAAAATTTGGAAATCATTTCATGTATAGATTTATTGAATACTTATATACTACGATGACATAAATTTTCCAATAAAATCTTATTTCACACGAGGTAATAAGAAAAAAAAAATGAAAAAATTGTCGTTGACAGATTGATGACATTTGCAAGATGAAATAGATGCCATCAGATTTCTGAAAACAAAAAGAACTTATTCTGCAATATAAAAGACGCATGAATCATTCTAGCATCAATTAGCACCAAATTATCGATCTAACCAAACTCGCGAGTTGAACTGACGCCGGATTGATCGTCTAGTGGCAGCCTTATGTTAAGTAATGTTTCTTGTGACATTTATATGACAGATACGTTTAGAAACTAATTATTGTAAAAATAGCGCTCTGAAGAGGAACGTTATTTGTAGTTAACATTTTAATTTTTTAAAATAACATTTAAGCGTTAATAACGCAGAAATATTACTTTGAATTAAAATGAAAAAAATAATTACGGTTGATATCATAAACAAGTCGAAAATTGTGTTTTTCTTAGACATGAATATATTTCTGCCCCGAATTCAAAGGATATGACAGCCATTTTTGCCAATAGAACTTCATCAAGGCAAAAAATACCTAATTTCGATTTAAATGGCGGTGATACCGTTTGAAACTTAAAGTATTATTTTCAATAGGTACACACAGAAGCGAATATACTACTAGAAGCCACACTGTGACGTATCTTTATAATCACATACCATTCTCCTTTTGTAAACTTTTAACAAATCCACCCAATACCAATACTGCAATATTATTACAGTGTCCGAAGATTTAAAAAAATAAAAACGTCATATTTGAGAGAACTAGAGTAGCGTATATGTCGATATTAAAATATCGATAAATTCAGAATTAAACATAACATTAAGGAACACTGAAATAACATTGCAGTATTTATTCGAGCGTTTAGTTTAACATTTGTTTCGCTAAACGCTGAGGCCAATATAATATTTGGCCTTAGATTCATTTTTAACCGCGTCGCGAAGACAATAGAAAGCAAAATTGAATGCGGTTAAAAGTGAAACAGTCTTACATTCCTGTTCATTGCACAACAAGTTTGGAGGTTAAATTACCTGCACAGATTTGAACACATCGATTGGATTATATTTTCATGTAAAATGGTTCCAAACAAATGTTATTTTTTTATAAGAGTTTTTATTAAATGCTATAGCAGTGACACTGACGAACTCGAACTTAACCCTCCCAATGTCTTTTCAACGTAAGTAACGCCTGTCTTAAATGCGCTGTAACGCCTCAGATATTTTAAGTTACTAACCAAATTGGTACTAAGTATGTTGAATAAATGTTTTTTTTTTTGTTATAGTGACGGCATTCCGAAAACTGGCGGCGCCTATAAGTCAATATGCGGCTTATGCCGATCATCATATTTATGTTGCCTGATATCCACTTTTGCAGCAATTTTTCTCACTCACAGATGTCAAAGAAAGCTTTGCTGGCGTCACTGTAATAGCATGTAATAAGATACGTAATATATTTTATGTTGATAGATAAGGACTGCTATTATTATTACAACTAAAAGTGAAGAAGGAAGGTAAACTAAAACTACTTAAATAGTGCAGTCAACAGGTCAGATTTTTAAACATTCGCTTTACATTGTAATTGCAATAGATTGTAAGGAAGGAGTATTAACACGTATAGGCGAATATTTTCACCTACCTATATTTCCCGATATTTCGACCGAGTTACAACGCATTCGTTAATCCCATTTATATTTATATCAGTTTTTTTTTTCCCATAAAATTTATATCAGTTTTTTTTCAATTAATTTCTAATATTATAAGCGGCAAAAATTTTTTTGGTGTTTATAAAATCAGTAACTTTGTACTGATTACACTACTATTTTTATATTATCTCAAAATAATATAATATAATAAATATTCCTTGGACTTGGCTTTTTACAAATACAAAAGGCTAATTTAGTTTGATTGAATACTGCTTATTTAAAACTAAAAACTTCCCAAGCAATTAATATTTAACTGTACATGGATTCATATGTAACAATCTGGTGGGTCAATAAAGTTGTATCTTGCAATTAGTCCTTTTTATTTTAAAATTAAGAGTTGTTACATTAATTGTGTCCATTAGAGGGCCATAATTTCATAGATATATATATATTTATTATCTCATATCAAATTAATATCAATATATTCAACTATGTTATAGTTTATTCAAAATACCTTTTTGTTTAAATTCGGGAATTCTGATATTGAAAAATGGCTGGTCCAATGTTTGATACGATACATAAATTAAAATCAAACAGAGTCCATAGTTAAATGTGTTAATTATATTACGCTAAAAACGGAAATCATTTAAAAGAGTGTGAAAACATTGATTCATAAAAAGATTAAAGATAAAAGAAAACTCGATTCAAATTAATATACACACTAATGCCAAAGAAAAATAATGTAATCGTGACATTGTATCATAAATGCTAGAGACAGATCAATTCCGTTTTATATAAATTAAATTAAATATTTATTAGTAGCTAAAAAATATCCACAAAAGAAGACTTTCTAATTATTTTCTGACCTCTTTAGGCATTCGTAGCGAAACTCGAAGAATATTAATTATAATATATGTAATAGGTTAAGTCAACCCATTTAGCTGCATCAGTTTTCTACGTGTTCATCCTTTTTCATGATAAAATTTTCACTTACGGACCCTCTAGAACTAAAACTTCAATTAGCATTCTGAACCGCTACTAACTTTAATAATATAGCATTATCAACAGCACAAGAGAGACAGAAATATTACACAGTTGTGTAATATTTCTATGTCCAATGTTAAACTTGATTACTTTGTAATTTGAATTTGAAAACTATTAGATGTTTACAATAATCTAATGAGTGCATATTGGCGTTTTATTTCACATCTAAATTAATAAAGGGCTTTTAAGTTATCAATGAACACTCTTTCCATCAAAACATGTCAAGTACATGTTCTGTTCTTATTTTCCTATGTAGGTCAAATAACTCGATGTTGACCAAAAATTCTACACTCCATTTTATTAATATCGATATAAAGGAGTTCTCTTTCTCATCTCTAAATTAAAATTAAAAACATAATATCTACCTCCCCGTCTGTTCACTCAAATAGAACAACGAATGAGGATATGGTACAAATTTTTTATAAACAAATCTGTCAAATTTCGCAATTGATTTTAAACTTTAGAGTTGAAAATCAATTGCGGACTCGATCGATGTGATTTTTTTTAATCAATCAATTCTACCTACTTTTTAGTTTAACAACATACGCCATGTAGTATACATGTAAATTACAAGCAAAAATAGTTTAATAAACAAATAAATATTATTATCTTATTTTCTAAAAAGAAAATTCAAACTAAAACTGTTTCAGAGTTATTATGAATTTAAATAAGTAATTGTAATTCCCTTGTTTTAAACATCGATCAATTTGACGTATTTTTTTTTTATTTTAATTGTGATAGTGATGTCTTTAAATTTGCATACCGGTTTCCATAATTATTATAAAATACTAAATATTAAATATCTATTACATCAATCACAACATTTAAGAACAATTGTACAGTAAATCTCAAATAATATCTTTCTTTAATTTACAGTAAGATACAACTGATGTGTCTTTAATGTGAATTTTAGAGATGCGCCTAATAGTGAAACCGGATATTCGGCCTATCATTTTACTATTTTGACGCGTAAACAGGTTTAAAAACAAATGTTGATTTGAATTTTAATTGATTTATTTTATTAACTTTATTGAATACATTTTTCATAGCATTTCTTTGACTTATATATAATATAACATAAATCTAACATAAGAAGTTCTGTCTTTTAGTACTGTACAGTGTCATGTAGCCACTGTATAGTACTAACACCGATCATTCCGTAAAGCCGATAATGCGGCCGAATACAAATAGTAAAAAAAATACCGAATACGCAGAATACCAATTACCGAACGAATATTCGGCGCATCTCTAATAAATATTGAAGCACGTCTAATGTCGACCAATCAGAATACTTCAAGAATCAGACCATCAAATGATCCACCAATATCCACGCATGCGTTGTATTTTACACCTTACATTTATTAAAATAAAGCTGACTATTTTTAACGCAAGTCTGATCAGCGCTAAAGAATATTCACAATGCATATTAGTTAGGATTTACTGTAATAATTTTCGTGTCGAAAAACTGAACTAACTCGAAATAAAGAAAAAAAAACATAGTCAATAATTTTCCCGCCAATTTTATTAGTACGTCACATTACATGCATAATAATCTCTGTTTTAAAACATAGATTTTACACCAAAATGATAATCTATCCAATATTGTTTATATCTTAATTTCAGTCCAATAAGCGTATATTTTTCTTCTTCAATCCACCGACGAGTCTGAATCGTCGTTCTTGGTTAGAATATAGAAGGCGATGACGGGAATCGAACCTAACACCATACAGGATCCCATGCCGTAGAAACACCATGAGTAACCACCGGTCACATCTCTGACGAGTCCTGTAAAATATTATATTTAAAATCATAGGATTAGACTACGTCCAAAAAACTAGCTAAGTGCGAATCGACTTGGGGCACGAATGAGCAAGTATTTAAAAAAAATATTAGTTCCCGAAATCAAACTAGATGTCGCTACGGTACTTTCTTGATTTCTCTATCACAACCCTACCGGTTTTCTTTCATGTATAAAGGTAAATTAATTTTCAAAACTCAGTTAACAACTTCTATTCTACTTGTACTTTTTCGTATTTCTATTGATATCTTTTCGAACTTTGCAAATATCAGTTTTTTAATATGTTAGTTAAAAGGAATGGAAATTACTATATTTGGTCCGTTCGTTTCCTGCAAGAATCAACTTTTGCTAGAGTCGCCATCTAGTGGAGGCATTATTAGTGCTTTCGTTTTTATATAAACCGGAAGGGTTGTCATGGAGAGATCAAGAACGCATCGTAGCGAAATCTAGTTTGATAGGAACTAATGTTTTTTTTTAATAATTCCTCATTAGAAATGGCGAATTTGTTATGTCGAACAAAAATTAATGAAAACGAATGCTCAACGAGACGAACGATTCAAGAATAGTGCTCCCGAGCCCCCGCAGAGGGGAAGTAAAAAGGCTGATGACGACGATGACGTAGGAATGAGTCTTTCGCAGAATGAGGTATTATGCGAAAAGGTCTATTAAAGAATAGGTCATTTCGAGAATAGGTCGTTTTTTTTGGCGTAAGCTATTTCGCGAATTGGTACAATATCTACTATTGATTTATTATGATATAGAAATGGTGAATTTGTTATGTCGAACGAAAATCGAGTGAAAACGAGTGCTCGACAATAATAGAACAGTCCTGAGGACGTAAAAAAGCTGATGACGATGATGTGGCACTGACCGGCGGTGGGCGGCACGGAGACGGCGGCGAGGCTCTGGAACATGCGCACGAGCCCGTAGGAGGAGGCGATGCGCGCGGTGCCGAACGCGTCCGCCAGCAGCACCGGCACCAGCAGGAACCAGCAGCCCAGGCACAGCCCGTACGCACCTGACGCGTGACGCGTTACGCAATACTCACGTCAATGGATAGTTTCGGTAGTGAAACATAAGTGGCGGAAATAAACATACTCTGGTTTTGAGTCTTAGACTTTATTTGTTTACTAGCTTTTGCCCGCGACTTCGTCCGCGCAATATAGTTACTTTGGGCAACATACATTTTCCAAAAACGCTGTTGTTTTTTGAGCTGATGATGAAATTACCTTGATGTTTAAGTTCGAAGATAGGACAACAAAAAAACCAACAAATGTCCAATATGTTTCAGCACTGTATCTTTGTAACTTTAGATATATTAATCCAATTGGATGGATTGGATGGATCCAATGCAATTTGAAATACAGATGAAAAAAGATTAGTTCTGAAGTTTACAAAAAAATTAATCGAAAACGTAATCTACGCAAAATTCTTTGAAAGTAACGATACCATCTAGGCACAACGCCATCTATTGGGTTTATTTGCTACCTAGATGTCAAACAATATTGAAAATTTTATCTATTTAATTGAAGATTTTATCAACGTACATCGCCATCTATGAGAACTTCATAAAACTAAACAGTAAATAAACACTTGCTTAAGAAACAATTAATTAGTCCATTTTATTCGTTTACATTCACGACATAAGCAAATAATTCAGATGATAACCATCCTATCCAGTAAGTTAGACCGAATAAGAAATTTGATTAAAATCGGTTCAGTAGTTTTGGAGTTTATTGGCAACATACATCGTGACACAAAATTTTTATATATATAAGATTTATTAAGATACAAGACAGGATATAATAGGGTATTTGACGCTATTCTGAAAACTATTTAAAATGGTTGTTTAATACATTATAAACACACTGTCAATATATTTCATGAGAATCTGCTCTATTTTTGATAAAAATAATTGTTAAAGTTTAAATAGCCAAAATCGCGAGAAAAACGCTGCTCTATGTAATGGCGCTAATCACGTGGTATTAGTGACGTCACATGGCGGTAAATGTGACATCGATTTCAGTGTCATGACGTTAAAGAAATCAGCGCCGGTGACGTCAATATAGTTGTCGTTTCGTCATTGCAAGTATCGGGACTGACACTCGCACAGAAGTCACTACACTTACATCAACGTCACGACACTCATACGCTGATGTCTTTAACGTATGACACTGACATCGACTTCAACTACACACAAGTCGATGTCCCGACACTCACATCGACTTCGACCTCGATGTCAAGACACTTACACAGACTTCGCGACACTCACAAAATCTTCACGACACTCACACTCACGTCGATGTCGCGACACTCACGTCGAAGTCGCGATACTCACCTCGATGTCACTGACATTCACGTTGATGTCATGCCACTCACATCGACTTCAACTACACGCAAGTGGATGTCCCGATCCCTGTCGATGACACGACACTCGTCGATGTCATGACACTCTCATTGCCATTACTGACACTAACAAAGATGTCACGACACACATCGAATCGATGTTGCGACACTCACACAGACATCGACGTCGATGTCATGACACTCGGACAGAGGTAACGACATTCACATCGTCGTTACTCACGACGATACATCGACATCGACGTCGATACCATGATACTCACACAAATGTCACGACACTCCCATCGACGTCGAATCCACGACACTCACGACGTAACCGACACTGACGTCGATGCCACGACACTCGCTCAGACGTCACGACAACTACATCGACGTCACCGACACTGACGTAGTTGATGTCACGATTGGTGTCTCGACACTCACACAATGAGGAAGTATTTAAAAAAAAAATTAGTTCCCGAAATCAAATTAGATGTCGCTACGGTACGTTCTTGATTTCTCCATGACAACCTTTCCGATTTTCTTTCATGTCTAAAAGTGAATTAATTTTCAAAACTCAATAAACAACTCATATTCTATTTGTACTTTTTCGTATTTGTATTGATATCTAAATTTCGAACTTTGCAAACTTCAGTTTTTTAATATGTTAGTTAAAAGGAACGGAAATTACTGTCTTTGGTCCATTCGTTTCCTGCAAAAATCAAGTTTTGCTAGAGTCGCCATCTAGTGGAGGTGCTTATTTAGTGCTTTCGTATTTTTTTAAATACTTCCTCATTGATTTTGATGATGTTTGAAAATCACACCGACACCAATACACTAACATCGACATAACTTTATCGACTTTACCTTATTTTATATAATCATAATTATCATCAAACTAATGAAACATTATCACTACTCAAGTAATCATATTATTTGGACATAATTCACCGTGCGAGCGAGCCCATTGCGGATTGGTGGGTGTTTACAACTACAGAAGCATGTAGTGTCTTTCTGTGAATAAATTTTTGAGGACCCATCCTACGACTGACCTTTGAGAAAGTTGAAGACCGGAAACGCTCACGACTTCACCATGAAACTCTGTCTATGTCTTTACTAATATTATATAGAGGAAACATTTAATTGTTTGTTTGCATCGGATAAGTTCCAAAACTACTGGACCGATTTTAAGAATTCTTACACCCACGGGAAGCTACATAATATGCGATGAACATAGACTATATTTTATCCAGGAAAACAGCAAATAAAAGGATAAACATTGGAGCAGAAGTTTATATAGGGAATTAAAATGTTTCCATACTAACCATTTTTTTCTAATTAAATTGTCCAAATGAAATATTAAATAAATTCTAAGCCAGGATTAACATATGGGCTACTTTTTATCCCGCTAAACAGTTCGCTAGAAACCACGCAAGTGAAGTTGGCGAAAAACTATACTCCATTCATTATAACATTAAACAAAAAAGGGTCATAGAAGCAGCAGTGCAAAACATTTTATATATTATAGTTTTGTTGAAATTTCGAACTTTAGGTAGTCTGAAAGAGCTGGGCAATTTTCCATTTTTTACGATACCTCGGGGTTGAGATGAGACCAGCATTTTCTTAATTCATCTTTCAAGCCAACATGGAACTAAAACTATCTATTTGTTGATTTGATAAATTCTAATTGTGAGTGCATATAATAAGAATAGTATTTAGTTATATCGATGACCAGGAAAGAATGTTAAACAAAATGAATTTGTGATTATAACATTTATTCAGACATTAGTTAGACTATAGATGAAGACATTAGAAAAAAAATCTGAAATTTCAAAGGTATGGGGGATTAAAGCTTAATTGTTGTAGGGCACTCGGGCCTGCACCGGCATCGTTGATATTTAACAAAACTTAACAACTTAATCACGGAAAACGGCAAATAACAAGAAAGGCAGTAGCATTCACAACGGATGACAATCGCAGATTACGTATTTTAACAATTATGAATACATTATAGTCTGACAAAATTAAAAACCTGTACTGCCGAAACGTTAGAAGGGATGAGGCAACGTTTTAAATTTGGTAGAGTTACAGTGACGTGAGAATCGTGCCGAAACTATCCAACCCTGCTTCTTTAGGTTCTTTGAGATGCACACTTTTTATTGTAATAGTTATTAAATCATTTAAGTTGGTCAAGAACTCATTAATTTGTTTAATAGATTGCTTAAATGAGAACAGTTAAGTAAAGCAGTTGGTATTTAAGTAGATATGTAGCAAATTAGCCGTCAGTCTTAAGAGTCACATGATTAATGATATTTTATCAAATCAAATCAAATCAAATCAAATTCATTTATTCGGCGCATGCACATAGGACACTAAAATATAATAATTTATCACATTAATACATATTACAATAAACATTAGATTAAACGTACAATTACAAGCAATAAGATATTTAACATTATTCAACATTTAAATAATAAAATAAATAATATTGTGTCCCACGACTGCACCAAATGGGTATCTAGCTCGGCATTTGTCGGTCTGTTTACTTTCCAGAAACAGACCGACGCCGATTTTCAGCTAGCATTCACCACACGGCCATTATCACAAAGTATACCATAAAAAGAACCTTATTTAACTTCTATCTAATGCTATAATGAATGGAGTATAGTTTGGTTTATAGGTGAATAAAAAAAAAAAGGAAATTAATGAAACAACGTCTAATTCTATATTCCTTTATTTCGTTCGTCAACTTTCGTAGTTTTTCTCATTACATATTTGGGTACTAGAACAATAAAGTTTATCACTTACATAGCAGGGTTCGGAATGATAATTATCTTAATAATTTGTATAACACCACACAAACTCTTTGCGTACTTTAGAACTTGTTATTCAAGGGGAAAAATCTTTTAAGAACTATCAAATGTGGCTTTTTTTTGATATAGAGAATTGTCTAGGACGATTTTCATTTTATTCAATGTGGTTTGAATATATTTTTATAATTTAAAACAACAAAAATAAAAATTATTTATGCCTTTCTGTATTTTAAAATTTGTAACCAGTAACCACCGATAATTATTGGATATTTATCAAAAAAGTAATTATCTTGGTAATAACAAACCCTGTTAGCATATAGAGTTTAATATCAATTACAGGATCCTCACCTCATTATGGCAAATATGTCAATTAATATCGGTCATTCAAAAATTTGTGTTTGTATTATTATTAATTTAAACTACCATTTATATATATGTATTTTTTAATGTTGCCAGTACCCAATACCACCAAAAAAACTAATAGACGAAGAGCTAGTGACAAAAATGTGCAAGAGCTTTCTAAAGCTTGACATTATGTTGTCAGTATGTTGAAGTACCGGTGCGGAGGTCAAGTGCTAGAACACCTGGCGGCCGGGCAATGTGGAATACCAAAAATCGTAACATAGATTAATACTGAAATATCAAGCTTTAGAAACTTGCACATTTATGTCACGGTCTCTGAGACTATAAATCATTAAGATATTATTTTAATACATATATAGGTAATATATTAATTATTAGTCCAGTCAGAGTAATTCAAAGAAGATCAATGTGGTGTCAGTTTTGGCTCAAGATTTGGCCGATGCAAAATTAGGGAAACAGCTTAATAAATATAACTAGATGGTTGACACGTAAAGAC